GATCTGTGGGTTTTTTGTTTTTTCTTTCAGTTCTGTGTTGGATTATTCACTATTCCTACCATGTAAACTCTGCACTGTAACTAATTTGTTGATCTTTGGTTACTTCTAAAATGCGGAAACTTCCTGTGGGAACAAACACTTGAGCCCTGTGGCTGAGATAAGTTGCTGCTTTGCTGCCGATTCTCTGGGGCAGGCTTTTTGTGCAGCTCAGGTTTAATTGTTGACTTGTAAGCACTTCCAGGTCTTGTAAGGTCTGGTACACCTGGGTTGTGTGGAAACTCTGGTCTGGGCCTGAGACTTTCCAGCAAACGGCACCCCCTGCAGTTCAATATTCCTGACCAGTCTCCACTGAGTGGTCCTACGCTGATTGGGGGGCAGATCAGCTGTCCATGCTGTGCCCCAGTGTTCTCCCCGTGGGCCTGTCTCCACCACCTCCTAAACTCCAAACACTTCCTATGTGACGGGCCATGCTGCTGGTCCCTTGTGATGACTCACTGGCCTCTGAGTGGTTCCTTTTTTCAGTTGTATGTGGCCCCTTGCTCCTATGTGGGTCCGCGGGAACCCTGTTAGTGGTCTTGCTGTTCTAGGGGCCAGGAAGACCCTCTTCTCCCCTGCTGCCTCCAAGCAAACTCATATGAAGGGCACAGCTGCATCTTTTGCCAGCTCCTACTCCGTGTGCTCACCAGGGCAGCCTTGAAGCAGCCTGGGTTCGAAACCATTGGAGCGGTCCTTTCTTTCTCTCATCATGACTTGTGCTGCCTTCATGAACTCTATAGGTCTCTCTTACTCTTTCCCTGAGCTCTGGTGGCCCCAGCTTGGCAGTTCATTGCTTTTTAATACTTGTAAATTGGTTGATTGTGGAGAGTGTTGCTGGGGACCATCTATTCAGTCATTTTGATCAGAAGTCAGAATCTTGTATTTGAAAATGAACTGTCTAATAGTATTTCTCACAATCACTCCACATTTTGCCTAAAGAAACACCTTGGCAGCTTTTGCAAAAGGGAATTGTTATAGGCTACGCCTGGAGTCTTGGGTGGTCCATCATCTCAGTCTGAGGTGGGAAGCCAAGCATGGAAGGTGGTGGGCTCAACTGAGAGCTGTGTGAGGCAGGGGGGTGGGGACAGGCAGTATCTAAAATGACCTGGGCCCTCCCAGCCTAAATTCACCCCAATAGGGTAAAAAAAGACCCGTGGAAGAAAAGATGCTGGTTCACCGTATGGCCCTCATGCTACTGACACCCAGCTCCACACGCATCATGTCCGAGCTCATCTGAACGTCGCCTGATTCCCACACTTCCCTGACACGGTGCTAGTGGAGTAGACACTGATAAATAGGTATCGATTTGAATTTGCAGTTGTTCAGAAACACTTCATCAAGGGTCAAAAGGTTACTTGTGGTTAGAAAATTCTGAGTTTTTGTTAATGAGGACAAAATCCTTACCATCCATGGTTTTCCTTTTAACTTGGATCTCATTATCCTAAACTGGAATATCCTATCCATTTTTTTCCTTCTTAAAGGATTGCTAATGTTGTGTTTTGGTGTTGTTTGTTTCACTCCTGTCTCCTCAACATTTTATTTTACTTTTGTAAAAGTACAGGAACCAAACTGTATACAAAATTCTCAGTGTAGTTGGGTAATTATTTTGCTAATTAATTTTTTTTTAATTCTGGAGGGAGGGGGATACAGGTAAGATTCCGTTTAGAATGATCGTGAAAAACACTGTAAGATAGTCCATTTTCAAAACACAAGAAAGGATTCTCCTTGATGTTAGGAGGGCCAATGAGAGCTAAATATATTTTGGAAATATTTCTCCTCAAAACCTTTTCTCTAATATGAAAATCTGACAGCTTACTTTGGTTAAGTTACCTGGACCAAATAGAGAACTTTAGATTAGATATGGGGTAAATTGAGCAGCCAAAGGAGCCTCTCACTGAAAGGAGGATACCATGAAGGATTGTGGTGCCCAGAAAGCAGGCTGTATGGTGTGTCATAAATGGCAGTGTGGAAACCAAAGTGACCCATCAGAAATCCAGAGCTGTGCATACATCTGATCAAGCATTTGACTCTATGAAAATGTTCAAGGAGTTTAGGAATGATTAACATTTCAACCCAATATTGCTTAAGCAGTAGTTGAAAAGAGTTAGCAAGAATGATACCAAGTTGAACTCAGGGGTGTGCAGTTCCTTAATGCTTAAATAGGGCTTACGAGTTATATAGAGTAATAGAGATGGTGATTTGTTGCTTTTGTTACTGTGATAGTGATATGCTTAAAAAAAACAACCATAGTTGAACGGGAAGGTATCCTCTCTTTGTGCAATTTTCAGTGCCTTTGCTAGCTCAGGAATCATCAGGTATTGAAGACATGACTCTAAGCTGTGCAAAACCAGCCCTTCCTGGTGACAGCCAGAATTTTTTCTGGGGGAAGGGCAGGAGTCCTCAGGGAGTGGTTTGGGGTGCAGGAGACCCTCCCATAGGCTCTAAGAGTCTGGTTCTCTTCAGTTATGACAGACTGAGGCAGAAATGGGGCAGCAGTTATGCGAGCTTGGGGTTTTAAGTACAGAAGAATTCCAGTGACACTGAAATCATACTCTTGAATTCTGTTCTTTCGTGGGAACTTGCTTTCCTGTGCCACGGCTGAGCCTAGGAGAACGTGAGTGAAGGGGAATGCTGACTTGCAGGTGTGCAGGTATCTAGTGAGGACCAGTTGGGGGTTCTTGGTTGGGGTAGAGTGTGTCCTTCTGACACTATTCAAAGTATGTAAGACACCATCATGATTAGATCTTCATCTAAATAAAACTATGGCCTGGTCATTTCAGAAACTGCAGGCTCTGCAGTCCCGCAGTGTAATGGAGTCCAACCTCGGATCACTGCGGGATGAGGAGTCTGAGGAGAGACTCAGGCAGACACAGGAGCTGCAAGCCCTGAGACGGAAGATGGAAATTCAGGTGAGCTGACGCTCCGTGCCTTCCTTCCGAGAGCAAGCCAAGAGCCAGGTTGTCTTCCAATACGTTCTCTCATTTTTGCTCTATGGATTTAGGGAAGTTGAAAGACCTCAGAGTTCTATATTTTCAGAGCTTCTGCCAATCCATGAAGGCATGGTGTTCTCAGGTGAGGCAGGTGATACATGTAGAATGTCAGATTTGCCTGGGATGCTTTTCAAAATACATAGTGCCGTGTCTCTTATTGGACACCTTTGCCCCCATTTCAATTCTAATCCAGTTGAAAATAACTCTTAGTGTGACAGTCTCCCGGATTTGAAGATATTTGGGATGGATCCAGTGGTGCGATGGTAAATGGTTAGCAATCATCTCTCTGGAACTAAAAAAGCTTTGATTTGTAGCATTTGCCATTTTCCCTGGTGTAAATGCTCCCACCATGGCTGACATGTGAGGTCACTGAATGGAGTCGGGGAGACTTGTGCAGTCTGCTTCCATGGGCCGGTGGGAGGTGGCTCTGGCCACCACTGGATGAATCTCAGTGCAGTCCAGTTGTAAGATGGTCTGTATCAGTGACAATTCCATGGCAAGGAAGGGCAGCTGGCACCGTCACTCAATCTGTTCTGCTCCTGTTTCTCTTCTCCAATGTTGTGGAGAAAGAGCTTAAAGTCTAACTAAAAGCCACAGTAAAGAGTTTCCACTGATATCTCACAAGTTTCCCATTCTAAAAAGCCATTCTTTTCCTGTGAACTCTGTTCACATTCTTTGACTATTTTTCTATTATTGATGATTTTCCATAACAACTTGTGAGTGTTATAATGTATAGAAATTAACCCACTTGTTGCTCTAGTTGTGGCGATTTTTCCCAGTTTTTTTTATCAGTCCTTCAATTAATCATGGTTTGGTCATACAGAAATGAATAATGTTCACGTGGTCAAAAAACGGCCAAATTATCAATATTTTCTTTATGGCCATCCCTACTCTGAGATTTAAAAAGAAAATATTCCTGTGTTTTCTTTTAGTAATTTTATGGCCTTATATTTTATGTTCAATTCTTTGACCAAGCTAGAATTTATTTTGGTTTAAGATATATATAAGGATCCAAGTTCATATCTTTTTCTAAACAGCTAGCCACTCGCTTAAACACCATTAGTCAATAATCCCCTCCTTCTGGGCTGGCCCCATGGCTCACTTGGGGGAGTGGGGCGCTGGTAGCACTGAGGCCGCGGGTTCGGATCCTACATAGGGGTGGCTAGTGAGCTCACTGGATTGAACGTGGTGCGGACCACACCGTGCCGAGGGTCGTGATCCCCTTACTGGTCAGAAAAAAAAAAATACTAATTAATCCCCTCCTCCTCCCCTAGTTTCCTTTTCCCCCCATCTTTATCTGTTTTTTAAATTCTGTTCCACTACTCTGTCTGCCTAATCATGAGCAGGTACTTTTTAATTCCTGTAGTGTTATTATATATTTTTAACATCTAGAGGCCCATTTGGTGAGCTTTGACTGTTTTTCAGAAAATGCAGTGCGAGAGGAAAGTGAAGAACCTGCAGGAAGAGCATGCGGCTGAGATGAGGGAGGCAGCTCTTGTCGGGTGGCCTGGCGGAGCCTGGTTTCCTGTGACCTCCTCGCATAATTCAGCAACCCCCCGCCTGGAACTGGTTGGCACATATTTTGTTGCTGCTATTGACTCTGTCTGCGGACCCTTGACTGTTTTTCAGAAAATGCAGTGCGAGAGGAAAGTGAAGAACCTGCAGGAAGAGCATGCGGCTGAGATGAGGGAGGCAGCTCTTGTCGGGTGGCCTGGCGGAGCCTGGTTTCCTGTGACCTCCTCGCATAATTCAGCAACCCCCCGCCTGGAACTGGTTGGCACATATTTTGTTGCTGCTATTGACTCTGTCTGTGGTCTCAGATTTTAACTCTGAAGGGGTCAGCTGCAAGGCGAGCGACTTCCCTGGCCAGGGGCAGGGCCTTCAGGCCTTCTCAGCTGAGCTCAACACAGCTTTTCTTCACTGGTGACCCCTTCAGGCCCTTTTGTTCTGTCAGCCTCACATGAATGCCCTGGTCATTTTGTGTGTGGGCTCCTCTTTGAAATCCCCCCACTCCAGGAGAGAGCCAGGTGGCTGTGGACCACGAGGATAGTTCAGGGGAGTTGAATTGGAAGGACTCAGACTGAGACCAGTGAACAGGGCAGCAGGCCCAGGGCAGAGAAAACAGCTTCTGTAGCAATGTCCCTGAGGAGAAGGCAAGGTGGGAAGCAGGCTGGGTAACAGGGGCCCCAGGCCCGGCCTGCAGCTCAGAAGGTGAGAGTGCTGAGGCCGGAGCCCGGCCCCTGGTGGACACTCCCCACTTCGGTACAGGGATGCACAATCGTCCCCGTGTCATGGCTTTACTTTATTTGCAACATTTAAACATTACTCAAACTCGTTAGTTCAAATAGTTCAAATTCATTCCAAAAGCAGAAGAAATAAATTAAGGTATACTGAGTAAAGTTTCACTTCCACCCATCCCCGTCTACCTGTCCTCAGCACTCAACCCTGCAGGTGATGACTTTGATTGGTTTCTTGTATATTCTTCTGGAGTTTCTTTATGCAAATATTAATAATCTCTTTGCTCTGACACCAGAGGCAGCATGTTACACATTTGTGTTTACCTCTTGTTTTTGCCTAAAACATTCATTTGATGATTTGTCAGTGGCCTCACTTAATGTCCCTCCCGTGGGTAGTCACACCTGACAGAGAGCCCTTTTTGCCCTGGTCTTGGGGCCTGCATTCCATTCTGACTTCTCTTCTGGCACAGCTCGAAAACATCCCCAAACTGGAAGGTGGGTAGTCTTGTTAGAAAGTCCCCTGCCCAGGTCTAGAAATCCTCTACCCTGCTTCAAGGGAAACCTTTGACCAGTATTGGCCTATAGGTACAGGCCCTGCAGACAGCAGGCACTCAGGGTTCCCTGCAGACAGTTTTCTGACCGACCGTTCTATGCCCACCAGCCGCAGGAGGAGAACAAGAGGGTCCAGGCCTCCCTGTCTCAGGATGAGAGGAAGGCAGCTGCCCAGGTCCACCACCAGATCAGCGCCCTCCACACCCAGCAGCAGGAACAAACCGGGCTCATCGCCTCCCAGGAGGAGAGGGTAGGTCTGTCTCCATCCAGCCAGGCCCTGGTGCCCCCAGGCCTGTTCAGGCAAGGAGCTCCTTGGACTCTTCTGGGCTCATCGGTGCTAGTCTCATTAGACTCCTGAAGGGAAGGGCAGAAGGGTCCTCGGGCACGAGGGGCACAGAGTGGTGAGAGGCAGCTGCTGGCCTCCGGGCTGCAGATGCGCCGTCCTGCTCAGCGGCTGCCGGCAGAGGGTTTGTGCCAACACCAGAGCCCGTAGAAATGCCTGGCGCCTGGTTGATAGTTTGTTCCTTCCTCTTCTAAGCCTCACTAGTCCCCTTGAAGGTAGGCATCACCTTCTCCCTGTCTTCATTTGACAAAGGATGACACAGGCTGGAGAAGCCAGGTTCCTGGCGTGAGTCTGCACGGGGCACTCTGGAAGTGGCAGGGGTGAGACCCAGCCCCAGCCAGACAGGCGGGTGCAGAGCTGTGTCTTTCCACTGTGCTCTCAGCCATGGCTGCCTACCCAGCACCTTCTCCCTGCTGAGGTTTCAGAGGAACCAGAGCAATGAGCAGTTTATCACACTCCTAAATCTGGCCCTGTGACTCCTCCCCTACTGCCGATCATTGTCTGCCCAGCCCAGGCTCAGCTCCCCCTCCTGAGCCCCAGGTTTCTGGAAAAGCTCTATCTTCTCCTCTGTGCCCTCCTGTGGCCTCTGGTTCTTGCCATGGTTCTGAGGCCACCACCTCGTGGACTTTCTCTGCACAGCTTCCCTGGCTGAGCTCCCACAGTCACGGTCTAGTTCACCCTTCCCGTCCCTGCAGTCCTCGTGCTTTTCTGCTCCCAGCCACACTTCACCCAGGTGGCATACTGTCCCCTCTCCTGCTGCTTTCCTTTTCACTGTTGCTCCCCAAACTCTCAGATCTTCACCACTGTGGCCACTCACGTCCCATCTGGAGGTCCCCTCCTGATGTTACCCAGAACTCTTATCTACAAAGGTTTCGGTTAGAAACTCACTGGCTAGAAGTACTAAGACACACGAAGAAGAGTTTACTTTTGTTGTAACACCAAGAGGTGATAGTTGCTGGCCGTGGTTAGCAGCAAAGGTACCCATTGGGAATCCAGACTCTGTTCTTCCTCTTTCTGCATTTAGTGTGTAGCTTATGTTAATTCTCATGGTTGCAAGATGGTTGCCCCAGCCCCGACCATCACAACCATGTCTGATGGAGGAAGTAAATGAAAAGGCCCCTTCCTGAGACGTTTGCTGATATATTATCAGTCAAACGTCTGTCACGTGGACACCCACAAGTGCAGGAAGGCTGGGAAAGCGATGACTAGTTTCACAGTCTCCGGAGCAGAGGTAGGCAAAGGAGGACACAGTTGGGCGTGGATGTGGGATGAGCTGTGCACCAGCATGTGACACCGCGGGTCACAAACAACAGCTCAGGCTTCACGGAAGAATTTGTCAGCGGGACAGACAGGGCATCGCACAGAGCTCACGGCAGGGGAGCAGCCGAATCTGAGAATGAACTGGAACGAGAGACGTGAATGTGGCCAGGAGTTTCCCTCTTCTGTGTGTCTCTGTTCCTTTCTCTGTATCTGCTTCATTTTGCTCTTTTACTCTGAAGATCAGCTTCTGCTGCTTATCTGTCCCCCGAGGCAAAACAAATAAACAAACCAAGAAAGCCCAGAACAGTCAGCTGCCAAGGGCTCTAGACTTCACTCATTAGCAGTGCAGCCCTCTCCACGCAAGCCCGGAGAGTTGGCTGTGGCTGTGGGGTGAGGTCGCGTGTGGCTGCCTCCATGGGAAAGGAGGAAGGAAGAGGCACGTGGACAAGGGGCTTGAGCAGACAGTTCAGTGAATGTCCACATCGTGCCTCCTGGCAGGGGTCGTCTCTGGCCTCCTTCCTCCCAGGGGGCACATGGCTCAGGTGCCGACGTGGTGGGAGGGGAGCCTCTACCTTGCCCTGTCTGTTTTCCATTAATTGTACCAGTAGTACTGACCATGTGCCAGTCCCACCCGACTTCCATGGCACTCCCATCCTCATACCACAATCCGTCTTTGAAGAGGGGACATTCTTGCCTCCCCATGGCAGGAAAATGGAGCAGCTGCCATCCTGATGGCTGCTGTTTGAGCTTGTCGCCTTCCCCTCTTACATATAGACCATGGCAGATTTGTTGGGGGGCTGGGGTGGACATCTGAACTTTTTCTGTTTCCCAGTGGGTGGCCTGGAACATTGGCTGTCCCTTCTTTACTAGGCTCGTGTCGGGCTGGGTCACAGACTCTTTAAAACCATTGTGGTGACTGGGTCACAGACCCCTCACGTGCAGGCTGGGGCATAGACTCCCCCACATGCAGGCTGGGGCACAGACCCTCCACATGCAGGTTGCAAGCTAGGTAATTGGAAAGATCCTGGGAGCCGTTGGCAAGTTTGATGTGCTTTACTTGGACATGAGCTCAGCCCCAAGTCTCCTCAGCCAGCAGTAGCCAGCAACAGCCCTACTGCCAGCCCTACTGGTATCCCAAGGGCACCCCCAGAAGTGTCCCAGGGGCCCTTCCTGGTGGCCTTCTGGGAGCATCCCAGGTATTCTGAGGTTCAGAGCTGTTTGTCCTTTATATTAAGTCAATTAACCAGGGAACGCCTGGGTCAATCAGATAACCAAGGGACACTTAAGTGCACACACACAGGTATACAAATCTACATCAGACAATAGCAAAGGGACACCTGGGCACACATGCACAGTTAACATATTTACATCAAACAGGCTAGGTCATGCTTGCCAAGACTCGAGGGAATCAGCTGAGGGAGCCTGACTATTTCATTTTCCTTAAAGATAGGCAGACCCACCGTTCAGAGCAGAGTCCGTGCAGTGCTCCCTGCTGGCTGTAACCTGCTCTGTTCCACCTCTTTGCAGATCCAGACCTTGGCCCTCAGGAAGGTGGAGGGTAAGTCTGCATGAGCTGGTTTGTAATAGTCTGTGCTGTTGTCTTGGGCTTTTCTCTCTCCTCCCCTCCACCCCCCCTCCATTTATAGGTGCAGGATTGGTGACAGCAGCCCCCAGCTGGGTGAGGGAGAGAGTTTCTGGGACAGATGGGGCTGCAGCCGGCATTTGTGCCGAAGGCTTTTCATACAGGTGCAGGTTTCTTGCTGGCTTGCTCTTCTCTGTAAGGGGATGGAGGCGGTGGGGAGGCGTGAGGAGCTTGGGGGTGATGATTGATGGGACAGGGTTCCCGAGGAGGCTCTTTCTAATTCACCATGCCTGTGGTAAGGCCTCAGGGTTGCTGGTGACCTTTATCTTGTTCCCAGTGTGTAGCAAGTTGAGACCAAACCCATGTGAATGTGGCCTGTTTGGCATATGTGCTCGCCTCCTCTTGGGCACCCTGGTGTACCAGTGTGTGTCTGAAGTCCACCTCTCCTCCCATCCCGTGCCTTGGGGCTAGATATTTCTTTCCCAGGCTTGCAGCCAGTTCAGAGGGGCACTGTTTCTGTGGCCCTGAACTTCCTGCAAGCTGGAGCTGGAACGGTACATAATGGCAGCTGTGTGCCATGTGCTTCACCAAGCTCTTCAGGTTCAGTGTCTCATGACGGCAGATCCAGACCTTGGCCCTCAGGAAGGTGGAGGGTAAGTCTGCATGAGCTGGTTTGTAATAGTCTGTGCTGTTGTCTTGGGCTTTTCTCTCTCCTCCCCTCCACCCCCCCTCCATTTATAGGTGCAGGATTGGTGACAGCAGCCCCCAGCTGGGTGAGGGAGAGAGTTTCTGGGACAGATGGGGCTGCAGCCGGCATTTGTGCCGAAGGCTTTTCATACAGGTGCAGGTTTCTTGCTGGCTTGCTCTTCTCTGTAAGGGGATGGAGGCGGTGGGGAGGCGTGAGGAGCTTGGGGGTGATGATTGATGGGACAGGGTTCCCGAGGAGGCTCTTTCTAATTCACCATGCCTGTGGTAAGGCCTCAGGGTTGCTGGTGACCTTTTCCTTGTTCCCAGTGTGTAGCAAGTTGAGACCAAACCCATGTGAATGTGGCCTGTTTGGCATATGTGCTCGCCTCCTCTTGGGCACCCTGGTGTACCAGTGTGTGTCTGAAGTCCACCTCTCCTCCCATCCCGTGCCTTGGGGCTAGATATTTCTTTCCCAGGCTTGCAGCCAATTCAGAGGGGCACTGTTTCTGTGGCCCTGAACTTCCTGCAAGCTGGAGCTGGAACGGTACATAATAGCAGCTGTGTGCCATGTGCTTCACCAAGCTCTTCAGGTTCAGTGTCTCATGACACTGTCCCCACTATTGAATGGGGGTTGGCATTATTATCCTCATTTTCTAGATGAGGAAACTGAGGCTTGGAGAGATTCCTGGACTTGCCATCTCATGCACAGCTGGTGAGGGGCAGGGCTGGAATGTGAACTCTGATCTTTCTGCCTGCAGTGTCCATGGCTGTGACCACTGCTCCATCCTGTGTCTCTCTTATAGAGATGAACTGACTGGAGGGCTTGTTCTTTCTGGCCGGTACTCATCTGGGGTCCTGCACTTTTGTCTAAGTCAGGGATGGAGTCCAGGGCACCGTAGCCACTAACTGTTCCTCCTGTGTTCAGGGATCCATGAGGCACCGAAGGCTGCGGACACAGAGGAGGACTCTCCTGAGGAAGGTGGGGCCTTATTTTCTCTCCTGGGTGTCCAGTGCAGGACACAGATCTGCTGCCTGCTTAGTTGCTTAGTTCGTCTCTACTTAACTGTATCCGGATACCTGAAGCTGGGGTGGAGGGAACACAGGACACGAAATAAATATTTCTTAAGCACCTTGCATGTGCCGGGGATGTTACACGCAGGTACTAACATGTGATCTCCTGGGTCAGTGATGGGAGACCCAGGCTCAGAGAGGGTCAGTAACTTGCCCAGAGTCACAGAGCTGGCAGGTAGCGGAGCCAGAATTTGGAGCAGCGTGTGATTCACGGGCCGCCCCACTGCGTCTCCCCTGGTACTGTCAAGAGCAGTGGAAGAGGTCTTGGAGTGTTGGCTTGAATAGGGACTTTGCTGTTTTCTTCTGCTCTGGGAGTTGCTGCAGACAGTAATATTTTTCTTATTTTTGAGATAGTAATCTATGCACTTTGCAAAAAAGAAACGAACACAGTGAAATAGTGTAAAAGTGTGAAGAGTGAGAATCAGGTGTCCCTCCGCCCAGCTATCCAGTTTCCTCTCCAGAGGTGCCACTGTCAATGTTTCCCATGAACCCTGCCAGAGACACTGGGTGTAAATACAAGCACATATGTGCACCCCCTCTTTTCTCTTTCCCAAATGGGTACACGCTACACCCATTGTTCTGTAGTATTTATGTTCTTAACATTTTACTAGGGAAATCGTTTCTTATCCCTTCATGGAGAACTGCTTCGTTCTTTTTCAGGTCTGTGCAATCTTCTGTTGCAGAGATGACCCATGACTTATTTACCCCGCCCTTTACTACCCACCTCTCTCCCAAGTGCATTTAACTTTGGGATAGAGCTGTAAACATTAGAATGACACATCCCTTTGCGGGAAGGTATCTATGGAGTAACAGAAGGTCCTCAGGTGGGATGGATGAGTCAAATCCTCAATCAGCAGACACAGAGTCCTTGAGTCCCTGCTGTGGTACTGGAGGTCCATGAATCTAGGGCTTACAGACCCCTTGAGTCTGTTGCACAGATTGGGTTACAAACCCTCCACATGCAGGTCTGTGAGCTAGGTAATAGATAAAAAGACTCTGGGAGCCGTAGGTATAGAAAAATGGATGGGTTTTATTCAGATCTAGGAGCAACTATCCTAGTGGCTTTTCTGAGAGTTGTGAGACACACTGGATCAGAGCTGTTAGTCTTTTATACTTAAGTCCATAACCCTGGACACCTGGGTGCCCATACACAACTTACATTAAGTAGTAACAAGGAACACCTGAAGGTGTTACAGCAAATGCTCAGCAAGGTTCTAAACATTCTAGGGGCCCTGACATTTTCCTATTTTTCCCAACAAGGTCGCACTTGCTTGTCACACTGTGCTGAGAGGTGGGTTCCAGGCATTGGTAGCATTTAGCACTCCCCAGGAGACTCCAGGGTGCAGCCAAGGTTGAGGATCATGCCCCAGTGCAAACCTTATAGAGCAGAATAACCCGAGGCAGGCTCTGGGTGGATGTCTGAAGCCCAAGCAACTACCCATAGGTCTTGGAGGGGTACCTGGCTTTAGTTTACTGCAGTTTAGTTTCTCAAACACTCTTAGCCATGAACAATGTGCTGTCATAGTGATAGTGCTTGGGGCACAAAAGAAGCAAGCCATAGTCTCTCCTGCTAGGGTGGGGGAGGCTTGTAACAGCACAATCGCTGGGCCCCACCTGCAGAGTTTGATTCAGTAGGTTTGGAAGAGGAGCTGAGAATCTGCATTTTTCACAAGTTACCAGGTGATGCTGATGCTGTGGCTCACACGTGAGGATCATTGCTCTAGAATAACTGGTTCTCAGGCTTCACTATTAGAATGCCTAGGGATATTTAAAAATAACTTTCAAGCCCTGGGGCCCACTCTGAGAGACTGTGATGTCACTATCCCAGGATGGGCCCCAGGTGGCTCCACCATGCAGCCAGGTCGAGGTTCACCACGTTCCACTCTGTCCTTGGGGGAAGAGAGGTGTGTTTCTCCTGCGTCCCCGGCATCCAGCACTGGCTCGTTCTCCCTCATACGAGTTGCTCAGTAAACGTCTATTGAATGAATGAAAGGGCTCGGTCCAGCTCTGACCACTGGGGCTGGACCTGAAGAGCACTTGTGGGAGGCCTCCCCTCAGCCCTGGCCTGCCGCTTTATAGCAGCTGACACTGTTGTTTTACTTGCTTGTTTTCTTACCCTCTGGATCAGTCTTTCTTCAAGTGTGGTCTGTGGCTCATCTTCATGAGAATCATCTGGGCCTGTTGAAATGCAGACTCCAGGGCCCTTCCCCAGACCTGTGGAATCAGACTTTGTGGAGGGTGGGGCCAGGGAGTGTGCACTTTAACCCGTGCCCAGGTGATTCTGACGTGTACTAGCATTAGAGGGAGCCCTCCAGATGGACAGAGCAAACGAAGAGAGCGGGGATCTGTCTTGTCCATCACATTATCCCCTGGACCAGAACAGACCTGGCACGGCAATGGGGTGAAGATGTCAGGTGGGGGCTGGGGCTGGCAGAGGGAAGGTCTGGACTCTGGGGTCACAATAACACCCCAGGGAACACAGTGCTGTCAGGGCTCAAGTGTAAGCCCAAAAGCCCCGAGTTAACCCATGGCAGCACTGACTGAGGCCAGATCTTAGAGGTCCAGACCGGCAGGGGGTGAGAATCCTGAAGGTGGGTGGAGGGTCTGAGGTAGTGGTCCCCGGAGCAGAATCACTCCAGCTTGTGATGGACACTCAGGAGGGGCCTGTGGTCCTGAGCTCACAGGTCGGAGACCAGGATCCCTGGAGGGGTGAGGGCGCATTGGGTGTGGGGGGCTCTGGGAAAGGAGGTCTCATGGGCATGGGCTGAGCTGGGCTATTGTGTTGTGCTGCAGAGCTGGTGGACTCCCGAGATGAGCTGTGGGAGGTGCTGGCCACTCTGAGGCGAAATCCCACCCTGCCCGCCCTGTTGAAGCAGTTCAGGCCAGTCCTGGAGGACACCCTGGAAGAGAAACTGGAAAGCATGGGGATAAAGAAGGTGAGTGCCAGAGCCACAATTTAGACACAAGGTGTCCAGCTAGGGCTCACAGACCCCTCATGCCCGTTGTACAGACTGGGTCACAAACCCTTCACATGCAGGCCATGAGCTAGGTAATAGGAAAAGATCCTGGGAGCTGTGGGGACCCTCGGTGTTGCGCCCGCACCGCGCTCAACCAGTGAGTGGACCGGTCTCTATATGGGATCCGAACCCTCTGCGGGAGCGCCACTGCGCTCCCAAGCGCCGCACTCAACCGAGTGCGCCACTGGGCCGGCCCCCTCTAATGACGTTTTCTGACAGAGGGAATTGAATTGGCTCCATGTGGCCTATGGACGGGTCCCCTTGGCCAAATGTCCATGTCTACATCCAGCATCTGTGGCCCACGTGGCCATGCCCACTCTGCAGGGTGTTGTGGGTGGGGCAGGTCCTGAAAGCTTTGTCTGGCACCAGCTAGTGTCTGAACGCCATTGTTCCTCCAGGCTTGTGCTTAACCAGTGCACGGGCGTTATCATTAGAGGCACCAATGAAAGATATTATTAAATAAAAACACACCTTGTTATTCAGGTAGCCGAGCTTCATGTCGTTGTAAATACTGTCTGTGTAGAGTAAGTTCGGGCAAGATAGACACCTGGGTTTAACTTAGGAAGCGTGCTGAGGAATCTTTGGTTTCAACCTCTGCTTAATGTCTATTTGGCCCTATGCTCAGACTTGATTAGAACATTTCTTTCTAACCTCGAATGAATCCTCAACTCGGATTCATGTGCCTTCTGAGACCCTCTCATGGGCTCTGCATGGATGTCAGAAGCCCCAGCACCTCCCCATAGGAGTTGGAGGGTTACCTGGCTTTTGTTTACTGCAGTTTGGTTTCTCGAACACTCTTAGCCATGAGCAATGTGTCTGACGTGATGATAGTGCTGGGGGTACAGAAGGAGCAAGCCGTGGTCTCTGCTGCTAGGTTCAGTTGGGTGGTGGAAAAGCATGTCCCGTCCAAGTCCCTCATGCTGTGATGTGCGTGGAGTTGCGATGCAGCCCCCTGCGTTATCCTGCTCTGCACATTTTGATGGGGCTCCCAGACCCTGCGCCATCCCGCTTTCAGCCATGTGTGAAGCTGCTGCTCCTCTCATTCTGATCCTCGTTTCCTGCCCTCACCTCGCTCCCCCAAGAAAAGCACCAGGCGCCGATCACAGACTCCCAGGTCAGCCGCAGCAGGTGTGAGCGGTTTAGAGGGAGGATAAGGGGAGCCTCTGTGTGCAAAGGTGAACTTGTGTCTCCTCCAGGATGCAAAGGGAATCTCGATTCAGACGTGCAGACACCTGAAGTCCCTGCTGAGAATCCAGCGGGAGCAGAAGGCTCGGAGGTTTTCCCAATTTCTGAGTCTGAGGGAAAAGCTCATTGAGGAAGCCACCAAGAGAGTGAAGGAGAGACAGGAGAATGGGGCCGTGGTGTCCCAGCCAGCCAGCCAGCCCCCAGGTATGCTGGAGAGGGTTTGTGCAGGGCTGTGACCTGGGAGGGTCCTGCTCTCGAGCCTCGTTTGCACAGGAGGGTGGAGCCCCTGCCTCCCATTAGGGACATTGCTCTGAAGGGCCGAGCTGGTAGAGTCCTCCCTGGTGACTGAGTCACAAGTCTTCTGTTGGAGAAGCAGAGTCCGGGGGTGGGGATGGGCAAGGGCACATGCCAGGGTCACTCAGGGAAGCTGGGGGAGAGCCAGAGCTGGGGCTGTGGCCAGCCTGCACTGTCCCTGCTCAGACACCCTCCTGCCTCCCTCAGCAGCTTCGTCCTCCCTGCCTGACTTGCTGTGACCACAGGTTGGGCTTCCCTCCAGCGTGGCAGCCTGCTGGGTTTCTGGCTGTGCACACGGGGCCTGTCAGTTCAGGGGACAGCGCAAGGCCCGGGAGCACTGGGGCTGCGGGTGGAGGCAACTATCAACCAAGTGCAAACTTCCCAGAGCTCAGATGTGCTGCGCTGTAGGCAGTGGTGGGTGCGGGAGGCTGGGCCGGTTCTGCACGTGGACAGAGCCGCAGAGCTCCAGGCTGGGTCCCTGGGCCTGTCAGAGCTGCAGCTTTGCCACTTGTCCCTGCCTCTGGGGTCACGACAAGGGAAGGCCTGTGGTTCTGTTGGAGGATGAAAGCATGTGGGCCGGGAGTCTCAGATCTTCATCCTGAAAGACATTTTGGGACAAGGGAATTTTTGTCCCTAGGTTCAAGAGCTCCCATTTCTAGAAGATTCCCAGATCCTTTGGCCTGCTGTAACTAGAGGCTCTGGGGATACAGGGTGATGGCCCGACACTCTCACTTTGTCTCCTCAGCCATAGATGGAGCCGGAAGGGTCCCCATTCTATATCTTTTCTCCAGGCAGACCCAATCTGAGCTCTTCACACAAAGAAATTTTGCCGAGTGTGGTCCACGTATCTATGGGAATGCAAGAGACGATTTTATTTGGTACTTGGGCCAAGCATTTTAAAATTTATCTATTATTTTTCTTTTTGTGAATTGCCAAAAAATAGTACTAACATAGCAATCCTGTGAGCTTATGGAAATGATTACCTGGACAAGTATAAAGCAGGTGTTTTTTATTTAAAAGTGTTGCTTTACATAATCATGTTCAAGAAGTAACAGTAAATGACAGGACAGTTTTATGAGAATATAATAAAAATGATGTCCATGATGTGGGAAACTCTGTCGTACTTAGTTTTAAACTTCTGGTCTTAAAATCTGTAAGGAAAGGGCAGCTCTGAATCTTGCATCGAGTCCTCAGAGAGAAGGACATCTGTCCTGGTTGTGCACCTGCCTTTCACGTGTCAGCAGTACTCAGTGACTCCCTGTGGTGCACGCTCCTCTTCTCTGTTCATAAAAAATTTCTGATTCTGGACCCTTCTCGCCCTCCGTGGGTCTTGTTGCAATTTGGAGGACAGGAGGTTGTGTTTAAGTTCCTGCCTTGGTCCTGGCCTTGTCCCTGGCTGCCTTTGGGAGGAGGTTGAGTGGATTTCGTTGGCTCATGTAGTCCTGCCCCGACCTCTGGTGGCAGCTGGGCCTCCCTGCACGGCTTCCTGCTCTGCTGTGGCTGCAGTGTGGGTGGGTAAAGAGGGTAGGTGGCCTTGGGGAGGTCTAGGACTAGTCCCCTCTAGGACTGCGCCAAGGGTGAGCTGCACACATGCCAGACCTCTCTTAGGATCTGCTGGCGGCCTGGAACACCTGACTGCTCTCCTGGTCTCTGAAGAAAACATGGAACTATGGTCCCAGCTCTGGGCAACAGTGGGACACCTGGAGTGGGGGCAACTATTAATTCTGCTGTGGTTATTAGCGTACACTGAGCCAGAGTGACTTGTCCATTTCCAGGGTTCGAGCCTCTTTCCATTGCTTCTGAGCCTGCTGCTTGTGGGCGCAGCACGGGTATGCTCTGTTTGAGCACTCCTTTCTATTTCTAGTCAAAAGCCAGCGGAGCACCCTGGTCACCAAAGAGGCCAAGTCAAAAGCCAGAACTGTGCATGTGGCATCACCATTCAAGCCACCCACACCAACTCTTCAGAGCCACAGGAGCCACAGCGCTGGCCTGCCCCTCGGGTCCACCCCTACTCCACACCCCAGAGCGCATGGACCCTCCAAGACCCCTGCTTCCCTGGGACCTGGGCTGAGGTAAGCCCCAGACTCTGGCCTGTCACTGAGCCTCTGGGTGGCTCCTGGCCTCAGGCAGCCCTGTTCTGGGCTCCCTCTAGGCCTCTGCAGACAGGTGGGGGCAGAGACAGACATGAACAGGTGGTACCTCAGGTGGGGTCCAACCTGAGCTCTCAGGAAGAGACGAGGGATCCTTTGCTCCCAGCCAAGACCTACCTGCCCTCCCCTTACCTGTCTCTCCCTGCAACCCAAGTGGCCACACCAGAAGGGGCTGGGTACCAGGCCAGCAGGGCTACCACCCTCTGCGTGTCTTCTCAGGGAGAAGTGGGTGTAGCTGCTACACTCCAGAGTGACTCTGGGCCCAGGGAGGGAGCAGAGAAAACAAGCTTGCAAGGAGGTGAAGTTTGGCTTTTAAAGTTTTCTTTCTGGCCCCTGCACCCCTCATTTCTCCTCCACGTGGCAGCACACCCCCGTTCAGTTCTGAAGAGGACTCAGAGGGAGACCCTGTGCAGGGCGTGTCCCTGCAGCCCCCGCAAGCTTTTTCTAGGATGGTGCCCCGGCCGGAGGATGACTGGGACTCGTCTGACACCAAGACCTCGGAAGAGGACTCCCAGTCCCCTGGCAAGGACTCGGCTGGGCTGGCTTCCTCGGGTGAGTGGGCCGGGAGCACTGGGGTAGCCCTTCTCCAGTCCAGACTTCCCCTGGCCCTGGGCACACCCTGTAGCTGTCTTTGGACTTTCTGATTCAGTGTCTCTTTCTCTCAGATGCTTTTCTGGGATAGCAGAGATCTCAGGAGAAAGCTAGGACTCGAGTGAGGTTTCTTTTGCCCCGTGTTTTGTCACTGAATAGTTTACCTGTTGGAGGTTGTGGGGAGCTCACTCCCCCCTTTTCTCCTCCAGGTTCTGACTGGTAGAGAATAAATACTGTGGCCAGACATGTGGAGATCGAGGCCATGCTCTATTACTGGTGACAGGATGCAGGCCTGCCGGAGCACTTCCTGATAGGGCGGATTGGGGAAGCAGCCGGCTCTTGAGGCCAGAGTGGGGGCCCTTCCATCCCTGTCAAATTCAGATCTTGACTGTGTTTGTGCACAGGGCTGGGCCGACACAGCGATCCTGAGTGGGCAGGATCTGCAGCAGGCAGCTGCAGGGAGCATGCCAGCCAGGCTCCACACCCAGTCACAGGAGCAGGGAGAGGTCAGGGAAAAACAGTGAGTCAGCGCTGCCTTTTGCATGCAGTGACCCTCCTTCAGGCGAGTGGCCGAGGCAGGCTGCAGTCCACCCCTCTGCTCGGCTACCTCTGTGGGTACGAGAGAGGAGGATGGGGGGACACACTAGAGGTGCTTCTCGCCCTCCTGCCCATCCTGGTGGATAGAGCAGCAGTGCCCTCTTCTATGGCACCTCGAGGCGAGAGAGAAGGGTCTCCCTCCATGTCGCCATTCCCGGGGGCTCACACGTGCTTGGCTCTGGGCGGATTTTTTTGCGTGAGTCCCTGAGTTGCTCCTCACAGCACTGATGAGGGACGGCTACAGTAAACACAGCTCACAGGTGTCACAGAAACTAAGCCTCCGAGGCGTTGGGGCTAGTTCAAGGTCACAGAACTACTTTCATGGCAAAATGAGACTTTTTTTCTGTCAGGAAGGAAAAAAACGGCCTTGAGCTCTGTTCCTACTTTGAAGAGTATCCACACAGTTCTTCTGGCTGCTTGAGGTCATCAGCACCAGACCCAGGTCCCTGTGGCCACAGAATGGACTATCTCTGTGGTGAACGCAGCCTCCAGGGCAATCTAGGTTACAACTTGAAGGGCAAATAGTTCCCCACAATGAACATTTTGACAAATACAGTTTCCTGTAACACACGTGGTCAAACAAACATGACCTCTCATAGCAAAAGGATAATTGGGAGTGTGGTTTCTATGGAGCTAAGCTGGGGACCGAGGGGCAGCACAGAGAGCGGCAGTGGACCTTTGTGGCAGGCCGTGTCATGTTGCCACACCAGCCTCTGCGCCACAGCAGCACTTCCAGTCGTACTGGACAGGACTCTGCCCTTTTCAGCAAGCAGAGTCAGATAGAAATTCAGCTTGTCGGTGAAAAGGGCATCATAGAGATTTAAGCTGAATGTTAGGGCAACCGAATGAACATATTCACAAAGTCACCATGAACGCAGCCTCCAGGGCAATCTAGGTTACAACTTGAAGGGCAAATAGTTCCCCACAATGAACATTTTGACAAATACAGTTTCCTGTAACACACGTGGTCAAACAAACATGACCTCTCATAGCAAAAGGATAATTGGGAGTGTGGTTTCCATGCAGCTAAGCTGGGGACCGAGGGGCAGCACAGAGGGCGGCAGTGGACCTTTGTGGCAGGCTGTGTCATGTTGCCACACCAGCCTCTGCGCCACAGCAGCACTTCCAGTCATACTGGACAGGACTCTGCCCTTTTCAGCAAGCAGACTCAGATAGAAATTCAGCTTGTCGGTGAAAAGGGCATCATAGAGATTTAAGCTGAATGTTAGGGGAACCGAATGAACATATTCACAAAGTCACCGTTTTCTATGTAACAGGTTACCACGACTAGGTGAGCATTGTTCTTCTCAAAACAGCCACGTCCTCTCACAGTCTTTCAAGGTGTGCTTATGACACTGCTAACTGAGGCCTGCAGCTTCTGGCTTCAGTTGCATTTTCTAGCTAAGGCTGAGCTAAAGAATATGGAACGTAGAGTTCTGTCTTTCTGACGTCAGTAACTAGAGGCTCGGGGATTTAAATCTAGGTTTGCAAAATCCTTAGTGGACTCTGCAGTACTTCCTTGTGTCCGCAGAATTGGCCAAGCCTTCCAGTCCTCAGAATCCACCAGAACCAGATCTCTCAG